TTAATAATATATCAGTTACTTTTCATGATAATATATTATTTTAGATAATCATTTAAATTTTTAAAGGTTTAAATTTTTGAGGATCTTTTTTTGAACATGGTTATAATATATCTGTGCGATAAATGCCAATTAAGAGTCAATGGCTCCATCCATCGATTCCGTCCGTGAATCTTTCGTCGCGGGCGCCGCGCCGTCTCGTGAATATACTTTACTACAATTTCGGCGTTGTTCCTGCGTGATTGGGCAATGCGTATGCCGGTGTCGTTGTCGCCTGCCGATTCGTCGCGCTAATCGCGTGATCCGAAGCTGCCATTTCGGTTAACGCAACTCTCCCCTCAGACACTATTAAGCGCTCGTCGTGACAAGCCGTGCCTCATTATTGTCACGAAATTAACTTACCGGGCTACCGATTAGCAAGTTCGAATCGACGCTACCGCGAGTTCAGTGAACACGGATCGGCCAGGTCTCATCGATATCGCGTTATACTCGAGTTCGTTCCCGGTACTTGTGAGAGCAGCAGCTCTCGTTTTACGTGTTCGCTACCGCAACACGCTATTCGCGTTTTTCTCAACACAATTACCGCCGTGCTCAAGCATTGCCGAATTATCTACCGCGCATCTCAAAATTAATTGTGCCACATTGACGAAACATAGTTGAGAAGCGTTACCGAATAAAGTTTATACAAGACAACACTGCGACCGCACTCACGAGCGTGGTGCCACTTCGTCGCATGTTCGCGAGTATTGCTCTACCTCTCTTTCGTCGATACCTTCACGACAACATTAAAAATGCTCAATGCCACAACGGCTTTCTCAATTTTTACATGCACTAAACTTCAACGTCAATGATTGGGCGCCAGGCACGAGAGAGTGTGCCCCTCTTTCTTAAATCTTTTCGGTACGTTCTCACTCGAAAATACAGAGGTGTAGAGAATCACGAACGCGGACGGCGCTAATAGCCGACTACTTAGCCACGAGGTTTGTTCGCGTCGCTTGATCCAAATTAACCCAGAGAGCATTTAGATCAGCGGTAAGATGGCGGTTGAAGCAGTTGGATTCATGTGCCCCAACGCTCGGTGACACGAACGGATTTAGGACAAGTTGGAACAAGCGTCCTATCGTTCTATACCATGAATAGTTCATGATCTTGTGCAGGAGCCATTACCAGCCATTTGCAGCAAGTCGCGTTCGGTCTGTTGTTCAGATCAGACTTTTCGTTTTGAGTGTTATGTCTCACCTCGATTTCGGTTTTTTGAAAAGCACTGCCGGCTGACTTTATTCCTTTTATTCGTCTGTGCAGCGTTCAGATTCCCACCTGAGTGTCACCCAGATATCACTCCATTGTCACTCCCTTGTTGTTTACTGAACGTTAGACAAGGATGATATGACACCCGGGAAGCACCAGGTGGGAATCTGAACACGTCTCTGGATGCGCGACCATGTGATGCGGAAGCATAAGGGGGCACCTCATTTTCCGTTTGAATTCAGACACGAGACTTTCATACTACGTGGACCTCAAGGGTTTTGATGCAACCGATTAAGAGTGTCCGGCCATTTGCAGCCATTACTTCTGTTAGAAATGGAAAGAGATTTTCGTTTTGAAATCATTAACGAAATTTTCCTCATCAATTTTCTACTTTTTGCTGTACATAACTTTATGCTTGAGGAAGATGACGAAATAGAGAGTATTAACAAACAGAGTTAGAAAACGTTACTTTGCCATTTATTTACATAAACAATTTGATAATATAATAAATAATGTATAATGATAACAAACATTGCTTCTCTAAAGATTAGTTTTATTTTTAATTCGTCTTGTGTAATCAATGCTTTGATTTTATATAATCTGTATTTGCAGATATTGCTGTTAACGCACTTGTTGAGTTTATAAACGGTTTGGCCCAAAGAAGGCAAAGGACATGCATACCTGACTACGTCGAAAATATTATACCAATATATTCAGATAAGGAATTCATTATGCATTATAGGTTAAAGCGAATGCTTGTAATGGACATAATTGACAAATTTAATCAGTGGCCACATTTTAGAAATCTGGGAGGTAAATACTGGTTCTATTTCATCAGATAGGTTTATACTAAAAATATTTTTTTTTTAAATGAAGTTTGATCAACATTTTGCATAGGACATGGAGGATTTGAGCCTATTTCTGCTGAAAAACACATCTTCACCTTTCTATGGTTTGCTGGACATCAAAGTGCAAGCTTTAGAGACGTTGCTGACAGATTCAGTGTCTCTCTTAGTACCGTTGAATCAATATTACGGAGGGTCACACAATTTTTATATGAAATGAGGAATGAAGTTATTCGATATCCTATTGAGGCAGAGAAGCAAAGAACGCAAAGACACTATTTCGAAAATAAAGATTTTCCAGGAGTAATTGGTAAAAATCTGAATTTTCTTTGATGATATATTTAATATGGGTTAATATATTTGTAATCTAGTGTGTAATGTTAACTTATTTAATGTGTTTCTTTTCTGTTGCAGGATCTATTGATGGTTCATATATCCGTATCGATAAACCTTCTGAAGATCCAGTGGCCTACATCAACAGAAAGCATTATTTTTCTGTACACATGCAGGGCACAGTTAATGAGAAGAAAAAGTTTTTAGATGTATTTGTTGGATACCCTGGCTCAGTGCATGATGCAAGGGTATTTGCAAATTCTAGTTTGGCTGAAGACTTGCCAGCACTTTGTCAAGGTATAAACCATTACATTCATCATCAGTTACTGTATTGTAATTATGTTTTGGTTGAATATCTTTGTTTTTCTTGTTCGATTCTGTTAAAATACGTATACTTTATCGCACACATTTAGGCTGGTGGTCCATGAACAGAAATTAACAGCGAAACGGAACAGCATGACCAATCATAACTCTGCAGTCATTACTCTGCTTTCTTTTCTATGATTGTAATTGGTCGCGCTGTTCCGTCCTGCTGTAAATTTCTGCTCCATGGGGTGCCAGCCTTACTCAATCTTCGTTGTAATTTTTAAATACAATTTCATTTCAGATGGAAGCATATTTCTTGATGACGCTGCATATCCATGTCTGCCTCAATTAATTACTCCATATCGAGATAACGGACATTTAACGCAGGCTCAAAGAAATTTTAATCGCATGCACAGTCAGTGCAGAATCTCCGTGGAGCATGGATTTGGAGAGCTGAAACAGCGCTTCAGACAATTATATTTTCTCAAACTGAGGAATATGGAATTTATTGTTAAATTTATTCTGGTTTGCTGCGTGCTTCACAATTTGGCTAACTTAGATGATCTGGAATACATGGAAGAACCCGAAGAACCTGAAAACGAATATATTGATATAAATGCACGAGCGTTACAACATCTGGTAGCAGATGAAGATGAAGATCCAATTGATGATCGACGTGGTCGCGATCTCAGGGACGAACTATGTCGACAACTATTTCAAAGGCAACTGAACGAGTAAAAATAATAAATATAATAAAAATAACAAAAATATTCAAATAATCTTGCGTTTTTATTTGTAATTAGTAGCGTACAATAAGAGAAAATAAATATCTTCACAAAAATTTTATAAACTAATAAACATTTCAAACGAAGTCAACATTATGACTTAATATGAACACAATCAATATTTTTAAAGTACGTTTTATAATTCTTCATCTTATAATTCTTTTTGCGTCAAATAAACATTTCAAACAAAATCAACATTTTAATTAACTTTATATGAACACAACCAATATTTTCAGTCTTATAATAATAAATTTCTTATAATAAACATTTCAAATGAAGTCAATATTACAACTTAATGTAAACGTAACCAATATTTTTAAAGTCTTATAATTCACTTGATAGTTCTTTTTCTGTTAAATAAACATTTCAAACAAAATCAACATTATCATAAACTTTATGTGAATGCAATCAATATTTTCAGTCTTATAATAGTAAATTTCTTATAATAACTCTTCATCTGATGATTCTATTTGCTTTAAGTTTTTGTTTTCCATTCTCTCTAGTAGCTTTTGCAAAATAATATTTCGCTCTTTTTGTATTTCATTAAATTTTTGAAGCTCTATCAACATTTTTTTGCGTGCGTCTTGTTTGGCATCACCTTCTTTTTCAAGCACAGTACAGATTGATTCCTTAACTGATTGTAGAGTATGTGCCAATTTGCCATCTCGTATTTTTGCTTTATTATATATAAAAGATGAACAATTGCTATTTGTCGTGAATGATTTATTGCTATTCACCGATGATGAAGGTTCGTTGCTAACCGTCGATAGTGGCGAAAAAGGCGAATGTATTTCGATAGAAGACTCTTCATTTATATTCCTATAACAAAAAACATTAACTACTTATCTGAAGAAATGTAGATTGAAAAAACATACATCTTAAAGAGATAATTATTACCAGGGATGAAAAGTTACTTTGTTGTTATTTTTATAAAAAATTATTTGGTAATGATTGCAATTTTTTATAATGGTAACAGTAACTAATTAAAAGCTAAAGTTGGAAGTCACTTTGGAAAAGTAATTTGTCATTATTATGTATTATTTATCGAAAAAATAACTAATTTTTTGAAAAAAATATTGCATAATGATAAGTTATTTTTCGGAAAAGATTTTTTCAAAGTGTTTTCCAAAGTTTTCTTTAGCTTTTAATTAGTTACTGTTACCATTATCAAAAATTGCAACATTATTACCAAATTATTTATTATGAAAGTAATGACAAAAATAACTTCCAATCCATAATTATTATTCACTCAGACGAAGTTTGACTGACTTTTTGCAAAATCTCTTCCTGAGAAACAATTTCTTTGCGACCAGCCACAAAAGGTGGCACTGCACTGTGACTTTTTCCAAAGATGGTTATCATTTCACTGCAAGGACAAGTATATATTCCATTAATTACATAGAATACTGTAAAAATAACAAAAAAATAAAAATACTCAGTAACTTAATTAACTGTATGTATTCAGTTCAAAAATATCACATTTACAATAAAGCTTGTAGTATGATGTGTTTTTCTGCTAATTGTGTTTGAATAAATTATTAGAAATTCTGCGTTCTCTGTGTAGAACAATTCCAGTAATTTACTAAAACACAAGCAATCCAGTAGAAAAAATTGTATCGTGTGTCACAGTCTTTAGATACAGAAAACAGAAAATGAACTAAAAACTTACTTTTCATATAAAAGAGGTTTCATGCCTTTTCCAGAGCTATTTTTTCCTATAGTCCTTTGAATGTATTTGTCCCATTTTTTCTTCAATTTAAATTTATTTTTTATGTGATGTTTAGTAGCATTTGTGTAACCCCTGTTTTGAAATGACTGCTATTGCTTGAAACATGGCCTCTTTACTTTGATACTTCTTTTTCTGCAGCTTTTTCTCATGCTGTTCATATTCTATGAAAAACAACATTGTAGTTTTATGGTCCCAAATAAAACGGCCATTCTTGTCAAAAATAGAAGTATTCTCTTTGTCATCATCTGAATCTATGTATAATCGAAGAATCTAATGAAGGCACAATTGTAGACATGTGCTGCATAGAGCTTGTTGTAGGAACTGTAACAGAAGGACTCTCATGAGTTACAGTCTGAGTCTGGATTTTCAAAAAATCTGACTTATTTAGTAATGAATCTAATGGTACAGTTTTAAGGTAATGTGTCAAGCCTGTTGTGGGAGTTACAACAGAAGAAGAGGCAAGAGTTTGGGAGTTAATTAGCTTAAACATCGGTTTAGGCAATATTTGCATAGATGTAATTTTTGGAATTGCCGAACTTGTTGAAGAACTAGCACTTGTAGGATGTGCCATTGTAATTTTCTGATCAGCTTTATTAATGGTTTCTTTTGCTGCAGATATACTATAACAAAAAGATCAATAATATTGATATAGTACAGCATTCATTATTATTATACAATTACTTAATTACTTACATAATAAAAATGTAACTGAAGTACTATGAGGGTAAAGCTGATTCTACGAGTCGGTAGTCTTATTAGTGAATCGGTTGGCCAACAACTTGTACGACTAACGATTTTCTTAATTTTTCTTCGGGTATTAATGGCACCCGTCGCAGAACTGACGGCGACTCCGGCCAACGATTTTCTTAAGACTGACGAAATTCGACCAGATATCTGTAATAATCATGAAATACTTCTTTCAACTACACATTCTCAATCATTACGCATGCGTGCGTAACATGCCCCAACCGCACCACCTTCTGAGGTGAGGCAAATGGAGCGTGCTCTTAATTGATCCATGGAGTATACTCTAACGCGACGCGAACATCTAGTCGCCATATTGGTTCCGGTGACGCGAACGTATTGGAGCGCGTTGGAATGAACAGGAGCAGATTGAAGCGTGCAGATTGGAGCGTGCGACGCGAACAAACCTACGATAATGGCACAGGGGGTGATTCGTGGTCGGGAACGGAGAATCTTTTATAGAACGAGTAAGGCGAGATAACAGTAAAATAGACAGAATTAATAACAATGAGATAATAACAAATATATTCTCTAAATCAATTACACGGTTTCCGACGTACAGGCAGA